CAGGGCAAGGAGCTGAACCTGGTGATCCTTGTGGGTCTCTTCCAACCCAGCACATTCTGTGATTCTGTGTGATTATTTAAACACATTGATCAGGTGGCTAGGATAAACAGGAAAACATAAAATCAAATACAGCATATTAAAAATAAGTAAAAATAACGAGGCCCACAGATACACAGTCTGCAAAGACATTGGGATCTAGCAGAGGGGGAATAGTAGGAGATATCACCTTTGATTTTAAAAGCTTGGAACTCTGTTTATTTGAGGGCAAGAATGACATAATTGTCTAGCTATGTCAGCTAGAAAGGTTTAATATGAGGAGAGATCATTATGGAAAAATGATGGAGTCAGCCACCTAGTCCATATCAGCTAGAAAGACACAGTTGTCAGCTTTTCTTCAGTTATACCAGGAGCTAAGCACACACAGGAAGGAGACAAGTTCGATCTCCCATGCTCATGCAGCTCAGAAGTAGGTTGACTGGTAGGGCTCACGGTCAGCCAGCCAGCTGACAATCCTAAAAGCAAATGCTCCATGAAGCAAGGAGATGAAGGTTGTAGCTTAGGTCAACCCTTAGCTCGTGTTTCTCCAGGCACAGCATGAATATTAAGTTCTGCTTCTACAAGCAGACAGTGGCTGAGATGAAGAATTAATTGCCTTGGGAAGAACCTGGACACGTGTTCAACTTTTTTCAGAGGTTTCTGCTTCCTTTTGGGAGTTTTACAGTAGAGCAGATACTTTCTAAATGAAGAGACTGAATTTTCATGAATTCTCATGTCAGACGACAGTCTAGGGTGGCCTGAAGCATTCACGCAGCAGGACATGATAGCCTGCCCCTGCAGGTTTCTTCCTAGCCTCCAACCACTGACCATTAACAATGGTGACTGCTGGGGCTTCTCAGCACCACCACCTTACCATGCCCTTTTCCCCTTCATTGGCTGCACCTTCTCTCCCTGGTAACTGTCTTGGCTTTGCTTTAAGTCTTGTTTGCCAGGACCCAAGGAGGGCTTAGCTCCCCATAGTGAAGGAAGATAGGTTTAATCAGTACAGGTGGCCATGGGCTGCTTAATAGATTACATGAAAAACTGAAAAAAAAAGGCAGTATGTGAGCATGAAAGTGCTTGAAAGTGAAGATTTACCATGTTGAAGCCTTGAGCCAGACAGTTAACTCGCAGTGTCTTTGTAAGAAGGCTGCCTGCTCCTTTTTGCCCTTCGTCCCCTGAGTAATTAAAAATCCACTGGTAACTGCTGTGACGGTAGCTGATATGTCAGCATTGTTAGTTCTTATTACAGGGTATTTGCTGGGCTGCCAAGCCAAATGAGCACTGCTCCACCAAAGTCATTCAAATGTCTCCAAATTACAACAGCTGAGAATCATTTTTACTAGTTGCAATAAATAACATTCCTGACAACCTGGCTTGGATCCAAAGTGCACTGCAAAATTTTATGCAAGTTGTTGGAATGAAATTATTCTGGAGGCTCCAGGCACTCCTCTGGGACACAAAAATTAATGACCAGCACTTAAGTTTATCAGAATTTAAAAGAAAAATGTCCTCCAGCAGCCTCCAGTAGTGCCTCTTTGTTTTATTAATCTTTGGAGATTGATGCAGATTTCAGCTAGGAAGACAAAATTTAGATGAGAAAAAATATAACCAGAGTCTTGCCAGAAAATTACCATCAGCTTTCAGTGCAAGGGCAAGAGGATAATGAAAAATGTATATTTATATATATAATTCTATATATAATGCTAATGTACACATCTATCTATCTATCTACAGATAAAGCTATTATGTATAATGTATTTTATGCATATTTGCAATGTATCTTTCCATTGCAAATATGTAAAGTGAATGTTCAAAACAAGTTCAAGGCAGCTCTTTTTGAAGCACATGTGGTGAGAATGGGAAATCTGTAAGGTAGGAGAATTCCTTAGGGCTGTTGACTTCAGAAGTCTGAAAATTTGCGTATTACTACATAGCAGAGAAATGGCTCTCATAGTAGCTGTAACACAGTGGTAGGAGAGAGGAAAATGGGGGGAACTTATCTCTCCTTTGGATGTCTTACAGTCAAACTGCCTCTGATGCATAACGATAGGTAGATAACTGAGATTATTATTAATGAAATCCAGCACTCTTGAATACCAAGTGCTGAGATAAGTTGCTAAGAGATGCCATGAAGATTTCAAGGAAGTTGCGGTGCTCCTGTGGAGTATCAAATGTTGTTCTTTTGCTACCCTTGCAAGAACGTTCTTGCTCCCCTTGCAATCAGGTAAGCCCTTTCCTTCAGAAGGAAAAGGATGACTGGGAAAATGAGGATATTGCATAGTAAGAAGGAGGAAGAGTAGGCATGGTATCTCTTCTGTTCACTTTCTCACTGGTTAGAGCACTGTCTTCCTATATCACTCACAATTTAAACCTACTGCATGAAGGTAGGCAGAGAGAAGATGCTAAGTCATGATGTAAGTAATCTGAGGAATAGCTGAAGGAGCTGTGGTTGTTTAGCCTGAAGAAAAGGGAGACTTATCGTTCTCTACAGCTACCTGAAAAGAGGCTGTAGCCATGTAGGTAGGGGTCAGTCTCTTCTCCCAGCAATGGGACAAGAGGAAATGGCCTCAAGCTACACCAGGAGAGGTGCAGGTTGGATGTCAGAAGCATCACTGAATTTCTTCACTGAAAGGGTTGCTAAGCGTTTGAATTTGCTGCCCAGCAAAGTAGAGAAATCACCATCCGTGGAAGTGTTCAAGAAACAGCTGGATGTGCCCCTTAGAACTAGAGTTTAGTTGACATCATGCTGTTCAGTCAAAGGTTGGACTCGATCAGGGTGGTCCTTTCCAGCCTTCATGATCCTGTGTTATGAAAATACACCCCTTGCACATTCAGGTATCCCAGGCAAACAGAGAACTTGACCACAGCTCCTTGTGTGATGTGCTATTAACTAAGGAGTACCTTTTTTGGTATAGGTTTGAACACACCCAGAGTCAAGAATCACAGAATTACAGAATTAACTAGGTTGGAAAAGACCTTTGAGATCATCAAGTCCAACCTATGACCTGACACCTCCTCATCAACTAAACCATGGCACTGAATGGTTTACGTCCAGTCTTTCCTTAAACACCTGTGGGGGTGGTGGCTTCACCACCTCCCTGGGCAGATGATTCCAGTGGCCAATCACTCCTTCAGTGAATAATCTTTCCCTAATGTCTAACCTTATCTTACCTTGGTGCAGCTTAAGACTGTCCTCTTGTTCTGTCAGTTGTTGCGGGGCTGGCTACAACCTCCTTTCAGGCAGTTCTAGAGAATGGTAAGGTCTTCCCTGAGCCTCCTTTTTTCCAGGCTAAACTACCCCAGCTCTTTCAGCCATTCCTCACAGGTCCTGTGTCCCAGACCATTCAACAGCCTTGTTGCTCTCCTCTAGACATGTTCAAGCATCTCAACATTCTCCCTAAATTAAGTGGCCTGGAACTGGACACAGCACTCAAAGTGAGGCCTCACCAATGCTGACTACAGGGGAAGAATCATTGCCCTGGTCCTGCTGGCCACAGTAATGCTGTTATAGGCCAGGATGTCATTGGCCTTCTTGGACACCAGGGCACACTGCTGGCTCATTTTCACTTGGCTGCCAGCCAGCACCCCCAGCTCCCTTTCTGCCTGGGCACTGTCCAACCACACTGTCCCCAGCCTGTAACGCTGCAGGGGGTTGTTGTGACCCAAGGGCAGGACTTGGCACTTGGACTTCTTAAACTTCATATTGTTAGACTCAGCCCATCTATCCAGACTGTCCAGGTCGCTCTGCAGAGCCCTCGGAAGAACAGCTGCAAGATGTTGGATATGCCCTGGGACACATAGACATGTGTGAGTGTACTCTTTCAAGGCCACAGGTTGCAAGGACCAACTCAGAAATCACATTCAAGATTTCAGTTGCTACTGTCCTGTGGTAGGTTCAATTCCTGCTTTACTAAAAGCTAGGAGGTAGGAAATGAGAGGGTTGGTATACCTCCATGTTCAGTTTATCATAGTGACCCTTAGTATTCAGGCACATTTCTGGGGTGGTCTTAGGTAGGGCGGCAGGCCTGCGTAGCAGATTGGCATGCTAACCTGTCATAGACATAGGGCTAGTGTGAGTGGTAGGAAGTTTTCTCATAATAAGTGTATTAGTTGGTCATATCGGAATCGTGGGTAGAAGGCACGGATCCATAGGAATCCTGCTGATAGAAGTAGAACTTTTGTAGCTAATACTACAGGAAACAGCTCTTGAGGGGGGATAAGGAAGCTTGGGTTGAAGAATAGGATGGCAGTCAGTGTATTTATTAGTATGATGTTGGCGTATTCGGCTACGAAGAAAAGGGCGAAAGGTCCTGCTGCGTACTTTATGTTAAATCTGGAAGCTAGTTCCGATTCTCCTTCTGTTAGGTCGAAGGGGCACAATTAGTCTCAGCGAGTGTGGATACGTATCATATTATAGTGAGAGGTCAGCAGGAGAAGATGAGGTAGAGGGGTTCTTGGGTGAGAACGAGAGTACTTAGAGTATAGTTTCCACATGTTGCAAGGACCAACTCAGAAATCACATTCAAGATTTCAGTTGCTACTGTCCTGTGGTCTTGACTAGCTGTTGCCAGGATCTGGAGAAGTCATGGAGGTGTGTTGCTGAAAATACACCCCAAAGATTCAGACTTAGCACCATCAGGTTGACTTTTCAACAAAGGTAGCTGTGTGAGCATGTGTTAGTAGGATAAGCTTGGTAAGAGCTAGATTTTGAAAGTATGCTTTTGCTTTCCATGAGACCTTAAATCTGCTCTTGGGAAAGTCATCACTGTTTGGGAAGAAGTTTATCTGCAGTAGCAAAAGACTGGAATAAAGTCAAACTGGAGAAACTAGGCTTAATACAACTTGAATCTCAATGAACTTGTTGCTGTAGAGCACTGGGCTTGTACACTCTGTCAGAGGTGTAATTCCTCATTTGGGATTGTTATTCTTTGCAGATACACATCTAAAACAATTATTGTTCTTGGGCTGATTGCCTTGCTTGTAAACCTGGCAGAAATTCACTTCAGCTCAAATTTCTGATCTGCCAGTTCAAGAGAAGGGGACCTTTGCACTCTGCTATTTATTGCCTCCTGCTCCTCAGACATTCTCAGTGCTGGAAATGGTAACATCTTTTATGGTAGAAGGAAAACCATATGTAATTGCATGAGAACACCAAATTGTAAGAAGGAAAGCAAACAACAGCCGAGATCCTGGAGAAGCAGCAGTGGCAAGGAAGGAGTGGGGAAGTGGTCTTGAAAATACAGGTAAGACTGGCAGGACAACTACATGTGATAGATAATGCAATAATGAATGACTATCTTCTCCCAGCATGTTGCCCCTGATGTTACCAGCTCACTTCACACCATGAAGTGTCACATGCAGGCAGAGGTAAATTTTCCAAAGATTTAAGCAGGTTGCAGCTGGCTTGAGTCAGGATATTTCACCTCTTTCAAGGGTGTCTAGATATTCAGGTTGCCTGTTCTCAAGTGCCCAAGAGCAGCCCCCAGTTTTAATCCTTCATACTCCTTAAATTCCTGAATGTTTGTCAGGCTGATTCATACACGGACTCCTGGTGCTATCCTCTATTGATTTCCATCCATCCAATTCTGTTGCACCTTCCACCTTGCAATGAATCCACAAGCCAGACACAGTTGCTGTGTTCATGCTGATCATATTCAAAAGACATGTAAGGCCAAGCTGATGAAGAACAGTAATTGTGCATAGCTGCAAAAATGAGGGGAGGGGACATGCCTACAGAACAGCCTGAAGTGGGAACTGGTTGTGCAAAACTCTATCTTGTCTGGGCAGAAAGTGCATTGTACAGTCAGGATGTTGTTACCATTGCTGTATACTCATTAGAATATGTTTTCCTTTAATTAAGCAAACCTTGAAATTGCCATGCAAGCAAAACAGTGTCATCAGTTAATGCAAGACCTTGCCTTCTTTAGATCTGTGCTTACCAATACCCTGCTGGTCTGGTTAGTCTCTGTGACAGCTAGCAGGAAAATTACCTTTTTCTGCTTCCATGGAGGACACTGTAACATATTCCACCAGCCATTGTTCTTTTGCACACATCTATGACAACCCTCCCCCTATTTCCTTTCTGGAAAGAAGAAAGAGTATTACTATTCTCTGCCTTTCATCTTAGGACAAAGAAACAGCAGACATTTTGCTGGATGACTTTTAAATGCAGAATTGCTGGGTAATTAATGAGAATTTTATAACAAACTCTTAACAGTATTCCTATGCTGCCTTTTATCTTCTAGTTTTCCTTTAGCTACTGCAAAGCTGCCAAACTTCCACAAGGTGCTGGAGGAAAAACAGTCCTGGGAACAGATAGAAAAGGAGTAATCTTAACTGCTGATTCCTTGTACAGCTCAGCTGTTCTGTGTAGCTTGTGTGCTTTGTGTGTTTCCACATTTGTGGAACTGCTGTTTGCAGTGGGGTGGTGGTGGGTTGATCGTGGCTGGATGTCAAGTACCCACCAAAGCTATTCTGTCAGAAGCTCTATCCCCCTCCTCAGCTGGATAGGGGAGAGAAAATATAATGGAAAGCTCAGGGGTCAAGATAAGGACGGGGAGAGATCATTCATCAATTACTGTCATAGGCAGAACAGATATAGAGAAATTAGGTTAATTTACTACCAATCATATCAGGGTAGGGTAATGAGAAATAAAACCAAATCTTAGAACTCCTTCCCCCTACCCCTCCCTTTTTCCCAGGCTCAGCTTTACTCACAAATTCTCTACATCCTCCACACCTCCCCAGTGGTGGAGGGGGACAGGGAATGGTGTCTGTGATCAGTTCATCACATGTTGTTTCTGCTGCACCTTCCTTCTCAGGGGAAGAACTCCTCACTCTGCCTGCACCCAGCATGGAGTGTCTCCCATGGGAGACAGTCTTCTTCAATGTAGGCCCTTACCTCAGGCTGCAGTTCTTCATGAATTACTCCAGCATTGGTTGCCCATGGGGTTGCAAATCCTGCCAGCAAATGTGGGCCTTCTTGAGGGGTCACAGCTTCCTTCTCCATCTGCTCCAGTGGGGGGTTCTCCACTGGAGTGCAGGTGATCTCTGCTCCACTGCGGACCCCTCGTGCTGCCTCACCACGGTCTTTACTGTGCGCTGCAGAGCAACATCTGCTCTGGTGCCTGGAACAGTTTCTGCCCCTTCCTCTTCACTGGCCTTGATGTCTTCAGGGCTGTTTCTCTCACATACTCTCATTCCCTCCGTCTGCAATTGCTGTTGCCCAGTTGTTACACTCCCCCACATTCCTTCTTAGATGCATTATCCCTGAGGCTCTGCCACTGTTGCTGATGGGCCTTGGCCAGTTGTGGCTCCATCCTAGAGCCAGCTGGCACTGGCTCTGTCAAGCACAGAGGAAGCATTTAGCATCTTCTCACAGAAGTAGCTCCTCCACTAGCAAAACCTTGCCATGCAAACCCAATACCATGATACAGCTTTATGAGGTGAGTGTATGCATTTATGGGCACCAAAAAAGTTGCAAAGGAAAAATATAGCACAGCTGTAACACTTCTCTATCTGGAGTCCATGCTTCCTAGGCATTTTGTGGGGCTGAAACGTACCTTGCAAAACATGTAGCTTCTCTTGAGCATTCCTGAGAGAGACTTTTATAATATCTCACAGCAGTGGCAGGGAAAACTTTATTTTCCTTTTGTGATGCTATATATCTCATTTTCATTCTTTCACAACTACTACTGAGTCTTGGGCTCCCAGCTACTCTGTTTTATGGCCTGGTCTCATAGAGGTTCCCTAAATCAAAATTCTGCTTCTGTGACCTGCCATATGTGGAGAGTGGTAAAATCAGCCATGCAACTGGTTTGTTGGTAAAATAAGCCATGCAACTATAGCAAACAAGGACGCATGGAGAGGCCAACAAGACCCTTCCTGTGCCAAGCACCCAATGAGCTGTTCCACAGTGCGAAAGATTTGCCTGAGCAAAAAGGATGTGCTCATGACTCAAGCTGATGTATCCAGGGCAAAAATAACCCTGTTGGGTTTTTTCTGTATAGTCCTATGTAAGCTCAGAGGAGTTTAATGTCTATACAAATAAAAAGGACTACTGACTCCATCCCCAAATGCACCGTGGAACTAGACACAGTACTGGGAGGAAGGTCGGACCAGTACATAGCAAGGGCAGGAGCCAAAGATCTAAGGTTAAATCCTTACGACCTTTGCAAATCAAGCAGACTTTGTTCTTGTTGGGGCATCACAGAGAACTTTTCAGCACAGGACACTGAAGAAAAATCATCCAAATTTAACAAAAGGTGTGCATTTCCACTGCTGTAATTGAACTGCTGGGAGCACAGTGTGGATATTCTCTTTCAGAGCTGAAACGGTCACAATTCTGTTGAGTTTAATCGACTTAGGACAAGAATTGAGTTAAATGAATTAATGCCCAATTAAACTAAACCGAGGTCATAGGGCTTTAGAGGAATTTAACAAATCCTTTTTCAAAGTTATTTTGAATTAATTTCCTTAAATGTTCCCGTGCCGACAAAGAACAAATGTTTGTCTGCAAAGGGACATTAATTTGGTTAATGTTATGGGATTAACATAAAGAAAAAGAGCGATTTGTGATTCAGTCCCTGTGCATGAGCCATTCTCATGCTGGCCTAAGTATACTAATTTAATCTAATCTGCTCTGGAGCAACTGCTGTTGTAGAGTGGACCATCAGGGGTAGCTGTTCCAGAAGAATCCTGGTATAGGAAAATGCTGAGTGCTGCAGAAAAATCCATTCCAAACTGCCAGTCCAAATTTAATTCCTTAATGTGTTGAATGGCAGTCTTTGTTACCTCTGCAATTCAATAGCTCAGAAAACTGATATCTCCTTCTTCTGGACACACCATTACCTAGTTTCTCTCTCTTTTTTTTTTTCTTTTCTATTAAAGTGCTAGACTTGAAACAGATAATAAAAAAAAAGCAAAGGCAGTGATTTAAATTCCAAAGTAGTATTAGGAATGTATTGCAGGCTACGATATATGTAATTGAAAATCTATAAATACATCAGACTGGCTAAATGAAAGACAGGTTTACTTCTATTACTGGTAATCTTTGGAGTGGTCTTGCTCTCTCTTCACTCCCACACCCTCATCCCTTGTGAGAGAAAATTGCACTTCTTTTTAATGAAATTACAGCAAAGACCACCACATATGTAATTTTAGCAAAACTAATTCTTTAAATTAATTCCAGAGTAATAAACTAAACAAACCAAATGAAAAATTGCACATCCAGATATGAACACGAAGGTGAAGAGAGGGAGACAGGCACATTCTGGTTGCTTAAGAGCAGAGAGATATTTTCAGAGCAATTTCTTCAGAAAATGAACGTTATGCAGTAACAATGCATGTGTGTCCCAGCAGTTCTAACAAGTTGTGAGTATGTTGGGAAGTTACAACCTAGTTTGAAGAGGAGAGATCTCAGTGATAATGACATTACCCAGTCCTAGGAGAGAGGTAGGGAAGTCTTGACTCACTCTCCTGCTGAGGAGAGAGCTTGTGTGAAGTGTAACTGAACCCACACAGGAGACACACTGGATATGTGCTTTGCTCTTTCCATTGCTTGAGGAATGTCTTGGTTTTCCAGAAGCAGACTACCAGATGTTCACAGATGTGTCCAGATTGTGAAAGAACATGGAAGAATTGAGGGTTTCTAGTCAGCCTCCACTTCTCCACCTGGAAGGACATCAGCTCTTTTCCTCAGCTCATTCCACTTCTTCCACCCTGGCAAAAGAGTTGGCCAAGAACAGGGAACCAATGCACTTACCACCTACAGAAATTTGCATTCTACTGTTGCCAGGGGATAAAATTATTCTTTGCCCTCAGAACTTCAAAAGGCTGTGCTGTGGTAGCAACAAATTGGGGTGGTACAGCGGGGTGAGAGCTCTGTGCAGTGTGTTGAGGGGAAGGGATGATGTTGCAGAGCCACTAGGGATGTGGAAAACACATCAAAATTTAGCAACTGATGTCCCATCCCGTGGCAAGGAGGTCTGCAGCTCACCCACCACCAGCTAGGTCACTCACTTGGCTGCTGACAGCCTGTCCCTCCAGCCTGTCTTGTTTGCTCAGGGTGAGCTGCTGAGCACACTGCTCTGCAAGCTCTGTACAAAGCACCACTTGCCTCCAGAAACTGAAGGGTATGAGCAACATTGATTTGCATAAAGTGGTGTTTCATTCTGGAGCTTTTCTGCCCCTTTTTGGCTTTTATGTAGCTGATGAATTATTTAGTAAATAATTGGCTTTCTTA